TTATTAACATTATTATTAGATATTATTATTATCATAACCAAACATCTTTATAATTATAAACCAAAACGCCAAGCAACCGCCACAGGTAGGAAGAGGGCGAAGTTGGGAAAAACCCACGAAGCGACGCTCGACTCCAGGCCCCTTTTCCTGACCATTGATTGGTCGGAAGCAAGGTGCCAAAACTGGTATAAAACCGATGTACCTGCACAAGGTCGACGGATAGTCTAAAACAGTACACCTAGAACGACACCCGGTCGAACTAAACGTTAAATAAAAACGACATCAAACACATTTCTGGAATTTTTCGCCTTCGCGAAAAAACTGTGAATTTTGAAAGTGGCCTCAAATCACTTTACGAAATTATTTCTACCGAGAAAAATATAAATAACCAAGTTAACGAATACCAGTAAAATTTCTCCTAGTAAGCATAAAATTTCGTAAAATTTCTGAATTATTATTACACATAACAGTATAATATAGTAAATACAATTTTAAACGCGTTAAAATGCAAAATACTTCAAATATCTGAAAGTAGCGTAAAAGTGTCTCGATACCACTTTCAAAGTAAACTCATTTAACCAATACCGAGGGAGAAAAGGAGATTAAAACGACGGGGTTAAAATACGTGAGAATTGTCTAAATTTCAATTGACCGTAGAATTGTGAAGAATAAATTCTCGATAGCACGATATGCATACGGGTGGAAGTATAGGAAATTCAAGGTGTATCGATCTCTCTCAATTGTATTGACGGGAGCCAAGTAATCAAGATGGAGTCAATAATCCATGATCCGTTCAGCCTGGAAACCGGTCTACCCAACGTGTAATTGGGATCAGTGCTTATCTGTTGGCGCACACCAGGTTTCAACCCCCTTGCCAACATTTCCCCTCTTTGCCTCTCCGTCGCCTTTACGCAATTCGTACATGCCTACTTAACGTAACACACCTTCAAAGCGTTTTGGGGAACCGTTAACTAGCGTTAATAACCTCCTTTTAAATGTACCATCCCTAAGCGTTCCAACCTTATATACGTGTACTTCTGTGTTTGCGTGTGTGTGTAGAATGGTTAGGAAAGTTTCTAAGGATAAAACGAACGGAACTATTCAGTAGAAAACACCCTTATGTTTCAGAGGGACCGATCTTCATTGTGCCAATAACAAACGTGACGGTCCCAATGGGCAGAGAAGCAGTGCTCGCTTGTGTCGTTGCAAATCTATCTATCTACAAGGTAAACTCTCTATTAACGATGACTCTTAATCTCACTCTCCGTGAAACCTGTTTTTCCTTCTTTTCCAATCTTCTGCCAAGACTACTTCAAGGGACCTGGCGAAATTTAAGTGATTTAATTTCAATAATTGCATAGTGATTAAGTGTAAGTAATTTCTGTATTGCAAAAGCAAATTTATACGTAATTAAACGAGAATTAAGTTTAAATAATTTCTATATTGGAAAAATGAAGTTATTCCACGGCGGGGAAATAAATCTATACGCAGTGGAAATTAAATTAACAAGATTTCTTTTTTTTTGCCAAATTTCATAAGATCCAAGTGATTCGTTCTTACGCGAAATTTTCACTGTTATCAATCGTTCGATCGGTTACTGTCCAAGATACTCTGTAACTGTGCATACACGTTGATAATGTACACATACAGGTGCATACACGTGCGGTGGAATTTTGAGCCGAATCGGTGACCTGAATTTCAAGCGCACCTCGTAAGAATCGATTCTATTTAATAACTTTTGGTCGGTATAGCAGCGTCTGTAGAACAAAAAGCTACAGTTTTCGCATGGGCAATCAACGAGCGCGGCGCGCGAAAAAGTAGAGCGTAAGCAAATTTCGTTAATTCGCGATCGAGTGAACGCGAATTGCTACCGCGGAAAGTTGTTTGTGCGAAATAAATTGGTAATATCGCGAAATTTCCACTGGAAAAGCCTACTTGCCGTATTAGTATCCCGCTTAAAAACACACTCACGATCGCAAATACGATTACGAGCGTTTTATTAACCACGGGACAAACTTCTGCTCACTTTTTCTCCCACTGAGAAATTCTTCTGTTTCGTCGCAAACAGTGGCAAAGGTGTTACAGTATCGAAGCACCGTCATTCTAAACGAATTCGGGTCGTAAATTCGATTGCGCGATGTCGATCGGTTACCTATATTTCAAATTAATGAGATACAGCTATTTCCAGTTTGATGAGTATTTGCAGTCGGTGTGTACAACGGTGAGAGTTGTGGTTTGCAAATTTGAATAGAGGAATACTTAGCAGTTAATCGCCGGCTCTTGTGCGATATCTTAATGTTCACAGAAGATTCTTTATTTATCTTTCGTTCCACTTTAACCCTTTCGTTGCTGTTCTCGCCTGTAGGTGTTTTAATTTCGAGGCTTTTGCTGCATTTATAGTTTCATTTAATACTTAATTTGGTCATTTACGCGCTTCTACGTTAAGGGGGTCTTCTAGGGTGACGGTTTGAAAAAAAACGATTTTTGTATTTTTGCATATATCGAAAGTACAACACTTTAAGAATCTACTCCTGAAGTTTTATAGCTGTATTGAATAAAATAACGAAGTTATAGCTCGTTTAGTGTAACACATCAAGGGAGAATCTAAATTGCACTGAAAACTTTAAACGGAACCGTGTTTCCTGAAATGGTTGCCACGATCTGGTAAAAACTACTGAACCAATTCAACTCAAATTTTGCACATGTCTTCAGAACATGTGTGGCTATGGTCGGTAGTAGAATTACGCCAAAATATATATTTTTCTGATTTTTCGAACCTCTGAAAGACGAAAAAAAGTGGAAAAAATCGATACTTCGTATTCAAAGTGTCGCCATTTTTTTAATTTTCAATATTTTTCTTTTATTCTACTACTGACTATAGCGAAATGCATACTAAATCAGAATCAATTGGATTTCTTTATTTCTGACAAGCAGAACAGCTCAAATCATGGCAACCATGGACCTACTTCTTTTTTTCATGCTTCTGTTTGACGTGTTCCACAGCAGCCATATTTAATTATTTTTCAACAAAAAAAATTCGTAATGATTCTCCAAGGACAAGTAAATACATAGGAATAAAGCTCACGTTAATAACTGTTACCGTACTTCTGTAATAAATTAGCAAAAAAGGCCTAAAAAAACGGCCGTTAAGGGGATGTTCTGGTTTCGAATGCCATATTTGAGGCAATCTTTAGGATTTTTTTTCGAAAGAACTATTAAACTTTTCGCGTTAAGATTTTGCACACACGTTTATGGGTATTTGAAATACATAATGTATTTTTTTGAAGTAGGAATAGTCAAAATTACGCAAGTTATATTTTTTTTTATAGAGTGTGCTTTACAAAAAGTGTGTTTACCGTTTAAATGATTGCGGGCCTTCTGCTGATCTAAAATAACAGAACGAGGAAGAATCTTAATTGGTATAGATCTAGCTACGGTCTGAACGAAAATAAACTAAAAATATCGATTATTTACAAAATGACAGCATTTCGAATTTAGATTATCGATTTCCTTCATATTTTGCCGCATTTAGCGTGTTAAAAGGATAAGAAAAAAACGACGGATGTCAAAAATTTTGGTTCACGCGATACCAGGAAGTGTGCTGGAGCTTCTCCACAAATTTCAAGTCAACTGATAAACTAGAACCTGAAATATCGCGTGCACCGTTTCGAAAAATGAGCTTTCGAGAAAAACGCGTTCAAATTGCATCCTTCAAACGCTTACATCCAAATTAATTTCACGAATCCAAACAAATCCTCTTGCACACATGTTCCAGAATACTTACACTCGAAGAAAATGCAAAAAAAAAAAAAATTGAAATTAATTTTTCAAAACCAGAATACTCCCTTAATTTATCTCTCTGCGGTCGTATTTTCCGTAAGCATATTAGTCGTCCTAGTCGGAATTATTCTTCAGTAGCTTGCACTCGGTCAATTATCGCCCAGAAGACGTGTAAATTTCATTGAAACGAGTTCGTTCAAGCTGTGTGCACATTACTGTTACTTGATCCCCGTTTCTGCAGGCAAAGGGCGACCACAGAGCGCCTGAAAGGTAAAAACGCCGTACTGCGAATATCCCGATCGCAAAGGGTTAACAAAAAAATTTTGCACAGTCGCGGTTAAGAATTTCCACCGTCGATCACCCACGTGTGCCTTGGCGAAAGGGTTGAACGCGCAACCAGGATCCAATTATCGATAGGAAGACAGTCGCTGAAGGTGGAAGAAAAAAGGTAAAGAAAAGGGTGTAAACTGCAGGGGGTTAAAATAAGTGTAGCACATCCTGGAACGAGGTTGCTAGCAGATGTAGACTTGGCTTAAGTACGTCAGTTTAAGCCAGGGTATTGCGCAGTCACGGTTCATGGCGAGCGAAGACGCTTCCTGTCACCCTTACACGCTTCCTCCCCTGCTCGTGTTACCCTCAAATGTTCTTGTAGCCCGAGAACACTTTGCGCTAAATGCCAAGACGTTGCTCGTGTTTTCGTTATTTCCTTCATTATTCCAGTCACTTGTGCTCTACCTTCGAGCTGCTTACATTCTTGCAAGATGATCGCGAGAAGTGAATTAAAACTTGCCTAATAATACGTCTCCTGTTTCTCCTAGTATTATTTATCTGTTAAAAGTTGCGTTAATTTGACGGGAGAAATTTACCTCGCGCGTTTTCGCGGAGAACAAGGCGGTTTCAACGTTGCCGTGGAAAATTCACCGTTGCTGACTTTTCGTTGGGGACGAGCCAATAGGAGAGATTATAAGGGAAATTATTGGAAATAATAAAGCGAGGAATATGACATTCTGTCGCTTCCACGTTATTCACTCGATCTTTCTCCAATAAACTGCCATTTCTTCGAACAGTTACACAATTTCTTTAATAAATAAATTACTCTGAAACGAAGACATTGTGAAAGCAGCGTTCGAAGAATTTTTCATTCAAAGATTAATCATTTTTGGGAAATTAAGTTCAAATTCAAATTAATCGTTGGGAAAATTGTATTGAATTTTTTGACGACGTTTCACGTGCACCAACCCAATGCTTCGCAAGATTCGCACAAATTCGAATCGCACTGTGATGCCCGGTTTGCTCCAATTCCTCGAAACTAGGAGCAGATATTGGGGTATCGCTGAATTAAAACACATAAGGATTGTTAAGGATACTTAAGTTAGACCAGGTTTACGATACGGACGCGACTCTCTGCTATTTTTCAGATTAAGGTTTGAATACGCGTTTAATGTTTTAAACCTCTCATAAAAGCGGAGAATTTCGAGTTTTCTTCGTGCTTCTCAATAGCGGCACCGTTACCCTGGGTTTTTCCCATAAGTTCGGGTGACGCGTACTTCACGCAAAACACCCTCTCCTCGAGGGTGAGTGGTTGGCGTTGGGCGGTGACCAAGGCCCGAAAACTCACCCCCGTCAAGGGACCCAAATGCGACCAGGGAAGGGGAAATGCGACGACTGACACTATGCCCTCCGTTTAGGCCGCGTCAGTCACCGGTGACTGACAGTATACTTTTCGTTAGTCGTCTTCTGTTTATAGTTCGCATGGCCCACTGTGTGCATGCCCACGGCCAAGTGTGGCCTGAACGGAACGGTAAGCAAAACAGGCTGGGCGTTCAACGTGTTAAGAGCAAAAAGTTCAGGCGATCACACAGTCGCTACTTTTTCAATCGATTCTCGACGACGTGTCAGAATTGAACAAGGATCGTCGTTGCGTGGATACAAAACTTTTTACGTGACGTGCGCGTGGATAAAATAGAGAATGAATGCGGAAATGGGGAAAACAGGGCTTGTTTCGAACAGAGATTTGAAAACAGAGAGTTGAAAGGTGAAGGGTCCAGTATGAGTAACGGTGAAACTCGGCGACTCGTAAGTACAGATAAACTGAGGACTAAGGAGGAAAATATTTGAGGGTGTAACGGTACGAATTTTACGGAACTCGATAACGCGTCGGCGTCGTTGGAAATTTCGCGTAAATTTCGAACAAACGGGGGACAGTGACGTATAAAATTCAAATATTTGAATAGCTATTTGTTTGACAGGCTTAGAGCAGACTTAGCTTAACTACGTCAGATTAAGCGAGGATATTGCGCAATTACGACTCACGGAGGACGGAAGCTGTTCCTATCGCATTCCCACTTTCCCAGTTCGCTAAATGCTCGAATACCGAGAATACCGCTTTAATCAGTTCAAAAGTGCATCTTTCGAATGGTCGAATAGTTGCGAACGGAGAACCCGT